CCTCTTCTTTGATCGGAAATATCAAAAACCGTCCCGTCTCTAGATTTTTTTTCTACGTTTATTTATCGATCAAGTTTTATCAACGTCCTCGCATAAAGCCCGTACTTCTATCCGTTGCCCTGCAGCCTGTCGGTCTTGATTCCGCTCTCGTCGTGCGGCAGGGCTTATCTAGAGTCGGTGTTGGTTGACACTGCGTTAGTATTGCCGCACGGCCGCGTTATACGTGCTCTTTCGTTACTACAGCTCAGTTCGCTCGCGCCTTGCCAGCGTGCGCGTAGGCTTCTCTCTCTCTCTCGTCGTGCGGTGCTCACCACGCCGTGCTTCCCTGATATTTTCCTCTCCGGCGAACCAAAGCACCTAAGCCAGGACGACGACAACGACGACGGCGGCGACGGCGACCGATTGCAGCCGTCCGCGAAATTCCATCGACGCTCCGTTCGGCACGAAAATGTGAAAGAAACACATTTCGAGGCGAGGAGAGATCGCTTCTTCTGTGCTATGGGAAAACCCACCGGATGTCGGCGAGCTGCCTGCGATTTCGGAATGGTGAACGTGAAGAATGTGAAGCGATAATGCGCGGAGTGCTCGTTCGCGTTAAATACGCGCACCGCGAGCGCGCGACGTGACGTTCGAAGTGCGAGAATGTGCGCGTTTGTTTAAGCGCGCGCGGGTGTAAATTAATTTCGCTTAATGATTTTCACATTTCCATCCGGGCTGGATTTATCTTTGTTCGCGCGTGTTTGAAGACAAGCGCGTCGAGAGGAGAGGCGTCGAGGTGGCGAAGCCTCGAAAAAGAAAGTGACGCCGGAGGATGCAATTTACGAATACGAGACGGGAGATACACTTGCAGGCGGCAAAACATCGGCGTTTTTCCTCATCTCTCGCGATATAAACGAGACCATCAAACCACAGCACGGCGAGAGGCTACATTCGCGAGAGATCTTGATGGAGCCGGCTCTCGCATCGGCGCTGCATCGCTCCGAAATTCACTTCCCCCCCCCTCCCCCCCGAGATCTCGGCAGACGCTCGGAAGACGCAGACGTGGGTGATAAACTTCGGCGCGAAGATCGTCAATCAAATAGGCCGTTTATCCTTAACGCGTCTCGACTATAGTTATAATTAGACTCTCGGCCGAGGTTGCGCGCCGCGTGTTGGAAGGAAAGCGTCTAAAAGGAAACCTGTCTGGTCGCGCCGGCACGATAGTGAAAGTTAACCAAAATTAAATCAGCTGTGATAAGTCCTGTTGTAATTGAATTACAACAAATAAATATTTACTACACCGAGTAACAGTAATAATAATACGTATATACATATAGCAAATATATATCTATCTCTATTTAATACAAAACTGCTTATTCGAGGTTTGAAGATTAAGAAGAAAATCGCGAAATTAATCGAAGAAAAAGAAGAGAAGAAGAGTGAAAGTGTAAAACGATAACGCGTGTAAAAAAAAAGTATAGGTACTTTTGTATTTTTACAACATTACCGAGTGTGAGAAAAGATCTAAGGTAACAATATAAATTTCTGACGGAGGAAGAAACGAACCACGTGCATACTAGCTAAAACTCGACTAGACTCGGGACGAAAGAAGAGCGAGACCGATTCGAACGAAAATGGAACTAGTAAAAAGCGGCACCATCGAGATGCTGTCTCGTCGGAGTGTGGCGATAAAGGATTACAGTGTTGAGAACGGCAGCGAGGACGAGGAACGGTGCGACGAGAGCGATCGGACGTCCCTCAAGATCGACCTCTCGATGGCGGAGCAGTTCTACTACGAGGTTATCTCGTCGTTTGAGCAAGAGGAGGTATATAGATAGATTCGACACGCCTGTATTAATTCATTACACTTCCCGCGCGCCGATCTCTTGACTTCAACGCTATCGATCCATATGAAGATGAAAGTAAATCGGTGGCAGGTTTGAACTATTCTAAGTGATCGCGTAGGAAATGTCATTTTTATTTCGCACGGAGAAAACAGTTTTGCTGGATATGGATCTGAAAAATAATTTTGTTGGGTCAGCAAAATAATTAGGTAAAACATTTCCAATTAGTTGCTAAAATATAAAAAAAATTTTGCAGTATTCATATTTAAATGTTTTACATAATAATTTTGATGACGTAACAAAATCAATTTTCACATCTGTACAAATTTTTAGATTTTACAAGCAATCCTACAGCAAAAATATTCTTTTTGTGTATATGATCCTTACATAAAAAATTTTCCTAAAATTCGATTTAAAACAATATAATTTGCCATTTTGTTCGTACAATTATATATATAATAATTATAATTTAATAATTATACGTAGATATATTTTAACTTTAAATAACAATAATCCGAAAATAAAATAAAAACGGTCTAATTATTGTAAATGAAAATGAATTTGAAAAATTTATTAAACAAAAGGTTGATTATTATAAATAATTATGAAAAGTAAAATATATAACTCCAAGAATCTGTGCATACGCCAGGAATCTGTCAAATTCTAAAATAGCGTGCACGTGAAGCAACGAGGTCTAGAACGAATGAGTAAAACGAGAGCACGTGCTCCGACATCTCCCACCCTCTCGTCATTGACCGCGATCAATGACACCAGGACGTCAGGTACACGTGTGCAGAAGCGAATTGCATAGCTTTAATCTTTCCGTTGCCGTCGACGTTCTAATAGTTTATGAGTGCAATGCCTCTCCTTATGGCGCGCAACGTGATAAGCCCGGACGAACCGGAGGGTTTTGGCAGCGTTACAAAACGCCGTTTATTTTAGCTCGAGTTGGTACTTTATGCACATTTGTGTACGCGCTCAGACTCTGTCTCTGACTGCGAAATAACTTGGAGTCACCGTTGCGCCACCGCGACAATTACATTTCAATTGAAAACAACGTCGTGTATCCTCGGAGATACTATTTTCAGAGGATACAGGCGGACGTCAAGCACCGGCTGAATTTTTATCTATCTTTCTTATACCTATATATATATATATATATATAAATATTGGCGTATCGCGTATTTTGACAGCTGACAATTTTCGTAGTGTTCGTGTTCTGAATTTTTGTGCAAATCAACATACATCAATGTCTGAAGATTTATATACGCAGAAAAAGAATATCGATCCACGTTTCCAAAGGGGGGGAAAAAAAGAACAATGAAAATCGCTCGTTCCGAGATAAAGGCCGCCCTTAAACTCAACCGACACGCAACGATTCGCCACTCTGCGATCTTACCAACTGAAAGTCTTTTTTCTTTTTTTCTTTTTTTTTTTTCCATGCACCTGCAATTCCGCAAGTCACTATTTCTCGATCAGACGTAGTCCGCCGCGCATCCAGGCAGTTGTCTGCTACGCGCAGCGCATTTGCGCGATTCACGAATCGCTCTAGGGGCGAGCGAATCTAGATCCCAAGGCGAACCAGTTGCCCTTAATAAAACGCGCAATAAATAATGCTAGCCGTAATGCGCGAGTGCCGCGAGGATCATCGTCTCAAATGTAAGCTTGCGCGGCACGCCCACTAAATTGTCAATCGCGAAACGTTTGGGGCTGTACCGACCGCGGCTGTAAACCACGCTCGTTATTCGGCCCATTAA